CCCGGCCTGCGGCTCCCTGCGCTTTCCGCCGTCCAGGGGCGCCAGTCATGGGCGCCGCGGCCGCTGAGGCGCCGCTCCGGCTGCCTGCCGCGCCCCCGCTCGCCTTCTGCTGCTACACGTCGGTGCTTCTGCTCTTTGCCTTTTCTCTGCCCGGGACCCGCGCGTCCAACCAGCCCTCGGGTGGCGGCAGCTGCGGCGGCGGGGACTGTCCCGGCGGCAAAGGCAAGAGCATCAACTGCTCAGGTAGGACCGGCCGGAGCCCGTCCCTGGGGCCCCTTCCTCCTAGTCCCCGCAGTCTAGCTGGGAAAGACCCTGCCATGGGGGGCCCGGGGAGCGGGACCCGAGGGTGAGCGAGGGCGGAGGGCAGGGCGCGAGCGCGCGGTGTGGGCTTGGGGACCGGCGTTGGGGATGGGGAGTGGCCGTGCGTGCATCCGTGGGTGTCGAGTGGCTGGGAGACGGCTGCCCGGCGTGTTGTGAGGTGGTGTGGCCGGGACCGGGCGAGGCCGAGCAGCCGGCGGGGGCTCCCGCTGTGATCGTGGGTGTGCTCGCTGGAGCGCATGTTTGTGTTGTGCAGGCTCAGGAGAGGGAGGGCGGCCCAGGCAGGGATCTCTGTGGGTAGGAGAGGAGAGGGCCGGGGGGCCGAGGCTGAGGGCCAGGGCGGTGACCATGTGTTGTGGAGGCTCTTCCTTGGGGCGCTGGGGTCTCGGAGGAGTCGTGAGGGTAAAAGGGATGTTGGCCCTGGGGACGCAGGTAGGCGGTGTAGAGTGACTTGTGTGTGTATATGTCCTTTGGGTTCAGAGGTGGGATCTGGGGGCTTGAAGTGACCCAGGGTCTGTGGACATGGGCAGGGGAAAGTCCCAGCGCCCGGAAAGTGACCCTGTGTTTTGTGTTGTGTATGGGTGAAGCCTGGGGCAGAGGTAGCCACTCTGGGGTATGCATTGACGTGGGGGGATGGGGTGCCTGGAGTGAACCCCGTTTGTGTCGGTTCAGAAGCGGGGGACTCTGGAGTCATCCTGCGTAGGGTTTGGTTATAGAGAGAGGAAATTAGGTCTCACGGATTGCCCCGGTGTAGCGAGGTGTATCCCTGGGTTATTTGGGTGATGTGGGAAGAACTGGTTCTGAGGGAATGATGCCATGCCTGTGTTTGTGTGTTTTGCGGGAGGGCCTGGAGATTGGCAGCAACCAGAGCAAAGGAGTGACCTCTCCCCTCTCACCAAGGCCGCCTGCCTCCCCCCCCCCAGCTGTTGGAAACAAAGAGCTTGCTGGGGCTTTAATGGATGACACTGGGAGGAGGGTCGGCACAGTGAAGTTCCCTCTTCCTTTCTAAAGGGTTCCCAGAGGAGCCCAAGAATTCAAGCCCTGGGGCAAGGAGAGGCATGCAGGTCTCATTTGAGGGTGGGTGGGTCCTCCTGGGCCTGGCCGAGCAGATGCTAGTGATCTAAGCCACATCCTTGCTAACTTGCCCTTTTATCAATTCTCAGTCCTCCACTTCTTTAAACCAAGGTGGGGGAGTGGGAAACATCAGGACATTGAGAATTTGATGGTCTGCCTGCTGGACAGCCTTTGTACCTTTGGGCTCTTGAAGGGGCATTGTTTCTGGGGGAGTGAGGAACGAGCAAGAGGGCCTCAGCACAGATGCTTATGCCTGCTGTTTCGGTTTAAAGGCTTTACATCTTTTAATAATTTTCATATGGTATATTTTATGGAGGGGAGGGGTTTTGAGCACAGTAAACAATGGCATGTCTATTAAAAGCTTTTCCATTCGTGAAATAACTTCCATTATTTTTCTAATGTTAAGTGGGAAGTGGGATAATACTTTAATAAGTAATTGCACTTTAAGAATCACACTTTAAGAATACACACCATTTGTATATTAGAGTGCCTTTTTTTTTGTAACAAATATTGGTTATTAAACTTGTAAGTGATCACACCATGTCAAAATATTTTATGGGCTAATATGTTATGGTTATTTGTTTTTGCTAAGCTAATTTGTCCTTAGTAAAATATAGTGTGTGTTGATGGATGTTTTTGTGTATGTTTTCTAACTCTAGTGCGTAGTAGAAGTTTTAAGAAAAGAAATGGAGGGCTAGAAACCCACGTGATGTGGGGAAAAAGGAGACTGATGTAGGGGTCATGGCACTTGCTAAACAGCTGTGTAATTTGGGGCAAGTTATCTAATTTTTCTTAGTTTCCTCTTCTATTAAAAGAGAGACTTGACTTTATATCTGAGCGTTCTTTCAAGGAATATTTATCACTGTTATAAATGTCAATAAATTAGGCTGATCTAATAAAATGTTTTCTAGCACTTCAAGATAAACTTGAATAATTCTGGCTCTAAGGCTAGAGTTTTAACTAAATGACGTGTGTAGATTCTTGTTATAATTGTTTCTAGGATGAAGACCTGGGAACAATTTATATGGAAAATATAAATATTTTTTAATTGATGAATTTGAGTACTGTAGTAATCCAGTCTCAACATACACATCTATTAATGCAGCTTGAGATTGTGTGTAGGTTTTTTAGTAGCTTTTATTACCTAGGTATTTCCCACATAAGCTGAAGTTTACTCAATCATATATTTGAGTTTTAAAATCTAAGCGTTGGTCTTGATTCCCTGTTGATTTTCACTTTTGGTTTTGGACCATCATTCCAGTGTACTGTGATTTTTCTGGAGCCTGATTGTGTCAGGCTGTGTGTGTTGGGTTACTCACAGCTTTGTGGCACTTGCATGTGTAAAGAGCAGGTTTATGGCTTTATTAAATTAATAGAAGTTGTCTAAATCGTGGAAGAGGATGGAACCCTGTGATATTTTACTGGAGACTTCCTACCAAGTTGGTTGATGTTGATACGTTAGTCAACTAGATGTTCAACCCGCTATTCATCCTCTTAGTTGAGTTTAACAGGTTTTTGAGCTTCTGCAGCTTGACATTTTGTTCACCAGCCTATCGTTAAAAGATTCTGTCAGATTGTCTTGTCAGAATCAGTCATGTATATGTCTGTATCATCCTCCCTTTTTCCATTTTAGTAATCCTATAAAAAAAGCAAATGTTGTATAGGTTGCCTTAATAAAAAGTCCACAGTGACTTTCTCTTTTTACTGTGTTCAAAAATTTATTTACCTGTTCCAGAATTTTTTCAGCAGGTATATGGCAAGTTTACCTGTAGATGTTTTTCTGGACATTCATTTCCCTTTTTTTGAAAAATTGAGATTGTATTTTTTCATTTCTGGTCTTCTGGCACCTTGTCAAGATAGCTTAGATAATCAGCAGTTTATTTCAAAGTCAGATCTAAAAGTTTGTTCAGTATCGTGGAGTGTGATTTGTTTGGATCAGAAAGCAACTTCTTTTGAACTAGCTCTGTATTCCATTGCTGTCCATTATCCATGCCACTTACCTTAGATGTTAGTTCCCTTTGATCAGAGTTCTACCTTCCTAGTTTGAAGACCATGCTCCTTGATGAAGCTGAAGCAGAGAAGCTCAATGAGTCTGCATTGTTCCTGTCATGTCTTGATATTACAACATCTTCTCTAGGCAGTGGGCCTTTTGTTTATCTCTTCTTGTTCTAAACAAGCCTTTTTTGTTGTCCTCTTGTCCCAGTTCTCTATCATTCTGGACTTCAGACTTGGGTTTTTTTTTTTTTTTTGATCTTTAATTTTATATCTTCTTATTTATACTTATTCTTTTAAAATTTAACTTATCAGAAAGTTCCCTGTTCATCTAGAAAGAAAAAAGTTTGGAAGTACATGATATGTGTGAAGAAAGATGAACTTTGAACTCAGGAAACCAAGTAACCTTAGACTTGACTTTTTTTTTTTTTTTTTTTCATTTGTAACATGAAGATAATGATGATGGTCCTTTTTAGCTCTAGGGTGTTTAGAAAGAACACGAGGCTAAACATGTGAGGTATTTCTATCTTAGGGAATATGGTTCAAGAGGTATAAAAACATACTAAGAGACCAATAAGTGGCATTTGGTGATAGACATAAGGTGAAAAATTTGAACTAGGTTTTAAAAATGTCACAGAATTAGAAGTGGGTCCTCTGGATTGTCATATGTTGATAAGAATGATATAAATGTTAGATTAGGAGAAGTGCCTTGTTAGTGGCAATTTAGGATTCTGGGGAATAAAAAATGACTTTTTCGGGCCGACCCCGTGGCGCACTCGGGAGAGTGCGGCGCTCCTGCCACGGGTTCGGATCCTATATAGGGATGACCGGTGCGCTCACTGGCTGAGCGCGGTGCGGCCGGTCACAAAAAAGACAAAAAAAAAATGAGTTTTTCTAATTAGTGTGGAATTTTGGTCAGGACATTTTTCTTCTACATACATGGTGTGTAAAATGTGGATATTTATTAATTTAATGAACCTTGATAAAATACCTGGTTAATGTAGTCTAATCTGCTAGGTGTTAAGAGGAATATTTGAGAGGCCATTTCTGTCCTTAAGGGCCTTATATTCTAACAGAGGTGGTTAGCCACTTACAATACATACAGTGGAAATTTCTGTTTAACACATCTGGGCTTGCTTCTACATCCTCTCCCCCCACCCCCCAAATCAACAAGCATTTATTGAACACTAACGGGATTGGCAATTTTTTTTTTTTTAAAGGTGACCGGTAAGGGGATCTTAACCCTTGACTTGGTGTTGTCAGCACCATGCTCAGCCAGTGAGCGAACCGGCCATCCCTATATGGGATCCGAACCCGGGGCCTTGGTGTTATCAGCACCGCACTCTCCCGAGTGAGCCACAGGCCGGCCCTGGATTGGCATTTTTTAAGGTATACAGTTAAGTGGTTTTAGTATATTCACTAAGTTGTACAACCATCACCACTATCTAATTCCAGAACATTTTCATCACCCCAAGATGAAACCCTATACTTATTAACAGTTACTCCATGTCTCCCCCTGCCCCCCATTACTAAGCCATTTTCTATCTTTAGATTTGCCTATTCTGGGTATGTATGTAAATGGAATCATACAGTATGTAGTCATTTGTGTCTGGCTTATTTCACTTAGCATAATATTTTCACTGTTCATCTAAGTTGTAGCCTGTATCAGAACTTCATTCCATTCTCTGGCTGAATAATATTTCATTGTGTGGGCATACCACATTTTGTGTGTTCATTCCGTCATTGATGGATATGTGGGTTGTTTCCGCTCTTTGGCTTTTCTGAATAATGCTGCTTTAACATTCATGTGCAAGTTTTTGTGTAGAGATACATTTCCAGTTCTCTTGGGTATATATCTA